CATATATATATATATACAGGCCAAAGTTTTATATAAATAAAATAAAAATAAGGCTGGGAAAAATTCCTTTAGATATATTTAAAAGATAAGGAGTACAAAAAATAAAATTGAATTAAAAATAAAATTTTAATTAAAGAAATTTCGCGTTTCGCGACATTCCGGCCAAGGCTTTTAGTGGGAGTAGTTGTGGGGGCAGCAGCAAGGGGCATCGTTGTGGGTTGAAGTTGAGCATATTCAAAGGTGTTGGTGGGTGGCGCACCATGAAGTTTATCTGGGATAACGGAATGGGTTGTCGTTGTACGGGAACATTGGCCAGGGTATAAGCCAAACACGAACCACCATGCCAATTAGGAAAAGTTGTGCATGGAAATATAGGGGGAGAATTAATCAGTTTAGGTTTTAGTTTTACCTTTATTGGCCGGGGATTAAATTCCATTCTTTTTGATGGCATATTCGGTAGACACTCCCGCAAGGCTTTTGGATTTGGTGTAGTTGTTTGTCGTTTAAATTTAACATTATGGTTGTTGGTAATAGGCGGTGGGCATAATTTGACTTTGTTGTACAATTTATTCAGGGTAGGCTTTCTGGGCAGGGTTTTAACGGGGGTTGCTATCAGTTGGGAACAAAAGGTCTGTTGGTTGGGATTTGAATTGTTCGGAGAGGAAGGAGGCTGAGGCGGTTCGGTAAGTCTAGTATCAGGTCTGGATTGGGCAAAATAAGCATTATTAGTAAGGTAAGGTAGAGGAGGCCGTTGGGGAAGCCTCGGAGTAAATTGAGGTTTTGAGGGTAATAGGTGAGAGCAAAGGGCCCGAGGATGAGGGCCACCACAGGAAGAGCATTTCATGGGCATTCGGCAGTGGGGAGTTTTGTGCCCTTCTTTCATACAGCTAAAACACCGCCGTAATTCTCTGAGTTTGTTTCGGCGGGAATATAGGTCAGGATATTGGTTACAGGAAGGGGAGAAATGCCCAAATACATTACAAAACAGGCAGGGAAGCTTGGGTTCTCTGGTAGGAAATTTTCTCATTGTTTGGGTATGGAAGGTTAATGAGGATTGAGGTAAGGGAGGCGAGTCATTTCTAGGCGGAGATAAATTTTTAGGGGAAATTTGAACTTGCGGTTTTGGCGGAGAGCTGTTGTTCATTGCAGAAATATCTTCTTTTCTTTTCAATATGGCTTTCAATTTTTGGTTTAATAATTCTGTTGTCCAAGCGGGATTTTCTTCTTTGGCTTTGTAAATTTCTTCTAATACAAACGGGGGTAGTTTTGATTCTATTTCTAATTGAATGTGGATGTTGTCAGTATTCTCTCCTTGTTGAGTAAATCGGCAAATGAGGCTTTCAAATTCATTAACTAAGGAAGATAAGTCACGGCAAAAATGTTCGCCTTTTCTGACAGTTGGTAGTTGTTTGAGGGATTGGCATAATGAACGGGAAATTTCTGTGGGGTTTTCGTATTTCTGTTTTAGTAGGTCGACCGCCTGAGGGTAAGATAGGTCCACCAGAGGGAAGGATTCAATAACGGCTAAAGGAGCCGAACGGAGGCAGGATTTGAGGTAGGAGAGTTTTACTGAGTCGGAAATATTCGGTAAGTCTCCGACAGCAGCCTGGAAGGAAGACCAAAATGATGGGAATTCAACACAGTTCCCGGAAAATTGAGGTAAGGCCATTCTGGGTAGGTGGGCCAAGGAGGTAGAAGCAGTAGTAGCGGTAGGAGGAGGGGTACTGGAATTATTGCCGGGTAAAATGGCGGTTAATTCATTTTTCTGGGCGGTCAAGGATCGAACGTATTTTTTGAGTTTTCCAATAAGGGAAGGGTACGGGCAGGTTCTCGTAAATTCGTCATAAACGTCATTGTCATGGGTACGTTCGGGACCCGTCATTTTTTCTCGAAGGCACATCCATTGGTCATGGGTAGTAGAAAGGTCGGCCAGGTTATCGGAGGCCTCGGAGAGGGTAAAATCCAAGTCACGGACGTAGGCACGGATCTGGGAATAGTAAATATGATCCAAGTGTCCCTGGTTTCGCAGAGGGACGGGAAAATTCTTATTGGCTTCCAAAAGTTCTGTAATTTCCGGGTAGAGGCTTTTAATCTGGTTTCTAAATGGGAGAGACATTTTTCTAGTAAGAATATAGGTAGTAGTCAAAAGTAAACAAATATTAAAATCAGTAAGAAAAATATGAAATATAAATCGCACACAAAAAATTAAGGAGTAAGAAATTCACAGAAAAATAGGATGAAATTGGTAAGTAGGAAGTTCGTAATCTGGGTAAGACTGTAGAGAAAAAATGGGATTAATTCTTCTCTAATTAGGGTAGGTCTTAAAAAGGGTAGTCGGAATCCAGCGACCGAGAGAAATTGGGAATATTCTCTCTAAGGTTAAACAAAATAATTCTTTTCCAGTCAAATTTTATTTCTTTCACAGCAAATATATTAAAGTAAGGTAGGCTAACAATTGCTAATGTGAAGCAATAAAAAGGATAATTGGTAAGAGGAAGAATAATGTAAACTGATCAAAGTAGGAAGAAGAATAAGCATATATATATATATATACAGGCCAAAGTTTTATATAAATAAAATAAAAATAAGGCTGGGAAAAATTCCTTTAGATATATTTAAAAGATAAGGAGTACAAAAAATAAAATTGAATTAAAAATAAAATTTTAATTAAAGAAATTTCGCGTTTCGCGACAATGTAGATATGATATAAAATTAAATAGGGAAAACAACAATAAAACCAAAATTTTCAAAAACAAAAGCGAGAATTCTGTTAAAATAAATTAATTTCCCAAATTAGGATTCGAACTTGGGTGAAAAAGTAAATTCAGGAACGCTACCACTGCACCACCGAAGAACACATTTGTTAATAAAAAGAAATTGCTTATATATAAAAAAGAAAACTGAGAAAACTGTGTCTTAAAACTTTGGGGGCTTATAACTCGGTTCACGGTACCATTAAGCAAAAATAGTGAAAATTTCACAACTAAAGTAGGGTATAATCTACCCGTCTACCAAATTTCATCCCGAAGTCCCAAGGACACCTCAGGCACTCTCCTTTGTTAGGCTTTATTTGATCCCATTATCTTTAATATGAATAAAGTTATGTTAAAAATATTGTGTGCAATTACTTTCTTGTCACCCTGTCATACATACAAATATTAAATGTAAGAAATTATAAATATGCTTCGATATCTGCGGATTTTCCTCATTTTGTGGTTTTTGATAGGTCGATGAGAATTATTTTTAAAATGCGGATTTGCGGATTTTTGTGGTCTTTTGAAGATTTGAGGATTTTTATATTCTCTTGTAGTTTTTAGTATAAAATGTCAGATTTTCATAAGATTATTATTAGTAATAAAAAATTGCGTAATTATTAGAGACCGGATATTTATGCATTAAAAAATGCAAAATATGCACTATAATATGCATAAAAAATTGACAAAATATGTACAAAAATATGCAAATAAACCAAAATATTCACGAAATTATGCAGCAAAAATGCAATTTTTACCTAGAATTTTTAATTTTTTTGAATCAAAAATATTAAAACACCTATTTTTATTACGATTACTCCTATTTTAAATGTATAGTCCGACAAATTGAGTATTTTTAATCTATTGGACATTTTGAGATGAGACATTTTGGTGGTGGGACACTTTGTGATGGGACGTTTTGGGCGTGAGACATTATGGGTATGGGACATTTTTGGGTCTCGCCCAAAAACAAAAAAAAATTTTTTACAAAATTTTTAAGTTTTATAAATTTTTTCTTAAATTTTCTCTAAATTTTTAATTTTTGGTAGGATTTTGGGTAATACTCGAGTAATTTTCTCCAAAATCCTCAAAATATGCATTAAAATATGCATTTATGCACCAGTCCGGAATATGCAAAAATATGCATTATATGCAAATAGAAACCCCCTCTAGAGTATTCAAAACATGCGGAAACAGTGTTTTTTGTGCATTATACATCATGCCAAGTTTGCAAAAAAATATGCATTTGCATAAAAATCCGGTCTCTAATAATTATATTGTTGTATCAAAAATTATAATGCATAAAGTGATTTCAATTAGAGACCGAACTTTATGTAGTTGTCGTTCGATAATATCGGTATCTTAGCAATAATTATACTTAGCAATAATTATTTTTTTATAAAAATTTCAAAAGATAAATATTACAAAATTAGTAAATAAAATTTTAGTTAAAAGAATCACAAAAATAAATGTAGTTTTTATTTCAACTTTATTCATTCTTGCTTTCGACATAACAGAAATCCTTGTTGTTGTCATCGTTTTATTAATTGTGTCAATTTTAATTTTATTTGTTGTGGTTGTGATTATTGTACTAGTATCCGTTGTTATCTTTGTCGCTTGAATAGTTGTTAGGGGAATAAGGGATTCTTCATTACAAAAATCATTATTACATTTAATACATTTTTGATATTTTAAAGGACACTCTCCACAATTTTGCTCAACTTGAGAAAAATATTTTTACAATTATTAAACATAAATCTTGTAATAAATTGTGATGCTTGAGAGTACTAGAATCTCATAATCACACATAATCTCACAGATAAATCTTGTAATAAATAGTGATGCTCGAGAGTCTCGAGCGTTACCATTTAATATAATTTTTTTCAATTATTCAAACCGAAGGGTGTGGTTAAGTGGATTAGTCTCCCCAGCTCCCCTGACATCCTTAGTGATCCCATCTGCATCTTCTTAATCCCCCTTAATTCCTCCAAATCGCCCTATATCCCAGATTCCCTCCAAATCATAATTCATCCATACCCTTATATCACATCAGCACTTGCTGATATGGAGTAATATCTCAATTTTTTATTGTAATGTTGATGAAATGTTTAAATTTTTTAAAGTCTGAATTTTTACCTAATTTTCAAAAAAATTTCCCGATCTCGGGTCTCGATCCGAGATTTTTCTCGTTTTTAGGTCGCGATCTCGGTTTTCAAGTCTCGGTAAAATTTTGATTCCCGAGCGTCACTAGTATTTACCTCGTCCAAAAACATCTCTAGCAATATAACAACTGTCATAAACGTGTTGGCATGTTTTATTTATTTTAACATAAGGTTGAAGATTGGGAATAAGAAAGTGGCATTTTATTGGGGGAGGAAGTACTGCTTCTGTATTACATAAGTGTTTTGAACAATTACTGCATTTTGTCAGATTTTGTTGGTTTTTACAGATACCACATCCTTGTACTAATCCTTTAATTAAATACATAAATTTTGAAATAAGCGAAAGTGAGAGCATGGTAAAAGTTTAATCCTAGGCAGGCTTCGATCCTGCGACCTCCTGGCAGCTATTGCTAGGCGCTTTCGCTCACCACCAACAGATACTCTACCGACTGAGCTAGCGGGACGCTCCTTTAACCTTCTCTTTTAATAGATCTTAAACCCCCTCACCTAAGCGTTTTAAATGCTAGCCAGTTGTATCTCTCTCTCTCTTCCTTACAAGAATCTAGATGTCCAAATTTGGAAATGAAATAAAAATAGGTTTTTTTTGGGAAAGTAATCAAATTTATGAACTGAATTTGGATTTTATTAAATTCGGACACAAACCCTTTCTCAAATAAATTTATCATTTACCCATTTCCTTTTTATCAACACCAATAAAGCACATTTCCTTCATACAAAGACTTTTCCCCATTTTAGCTGCCCATTCGTTAGAATCTTTTTCCCAACAAAACAATTGGCTTTCAAAAAAAGAATCAGCATTACAAGCTGGTTTATTGTTACATTGTGCACATTGAACATTACTCATATTTATTTTCTTTATTTTTTCCTGGAGTGTTGTATCTTTAGTTATGATGTAGGGAGAAAGGTCGAGAATGCCTGCTGGACACGTTCCACAATCATAGTGGAATTGGTCTATCTTCTCGTCTAAATATATGTATAGTATTCAATAGAAAAATCCCTTTAAATGCTCTATTATCCATGATCACTTTAAATGCTCTATTATTCCTATTATTCATTCTATATCTTTTAAATCTCACTATATCCACCTTTAAATACACATGAATCCATAATTATCTTTTTTAATTCTCCTCAAAAAATATAGGATTGACTGATCTGTCCACTAACGGGTTCACTGACCGTCGTAGTTTACGCGACCAAGAAAGTACGGTAATACAGATGGGGTGGTGTAAAAGTAGACATTAGGATCACTCGAAGTCTTCCTATTAATTGCCACCCTCGTTATTCTTGTATTTACTCTTGTGATAAACTTGTTATTCTATGTATACTATGAGTTATTTTTTTAGTCCTAGTAGATCGGACCCTAGAGCATACACTAAATTGCGACTTTTGGAATCTAAAAATATAAGAAAACACACCTCCATTCTTCTCTTCAATTTTAGCAATATAACAGTCAGATTTGTTACATTCATTATAACTACCCATAAATCCAAAACAATAGAAATTAGGTTTAGATTCAATATTGCATCGATGACCTTTACATTCTTCACATGTATGGAAAGGGCACTTTCCACATCCTTTTTTAACTATAAATTTTTCCAAATTTTTATAGAATTTTATTTCTATTTTAAAACCCTCATTTGTTGGAGTTCTCCATGTATAGCAAGCATCGTTAAATTCCGTTTTGCAAATTTTATTTTTATCTGTCCAGCAATGTTTATAAACTTTATCTTCAGAGTTACAATAATGTCCTTTTGTACATGTTATACATTCTGTTTTGTCTGTTATTATTGAACAATTTCCACATCCTTGTGTTACTAAATATATATAACCAGTTAATTCTCATACAGTATTACCTCGCTATAAAGTTCTCACTAGGGGCATAAATAATCGTATCCTATAAAGAAGGCTAGGCTTAAATTAGGTTTATCACATAGGCAGCTCACTTTATCATCCAAATGGTCATCAGAATTAAGATTCCCCTATACGGTCAGATCTCACTATTAGATGCTCCCTTTCGGATTGTACGACACTTGCGGACCGACTTTTGCGGACCGACTTTTGCGGACCGACCTTTGCGGACGGACATTTGCGGATTGCGGATAGACATTTGCGGATCGACTTTTGCGGACGGACACTTGCGGATTGCGGACCGAGACGGACATTTGCGGACCGTTTTTGGGGAAAAAATTTAAAAAAATTAAATTTAATTTTAAAAAACTAAAAAAATATTTAAGTTAATTTTAACATCTTTTCGATGGGCAACTTTTTTTTATCAAAATGGTCAACGTAAACCTATGGAGAGTAGACGAGGCGCTTGTGCAAAACCCCGCGCTTTGCGCGGGGTTTTGCGGCACGCGCCCTACGCCCTTTCGGTGAAATTCAGGTGTCTCTAGCTTAATTAGGGATTATTTCCTAGGCACCACCTCAACCCAATTTCCAACCACTTTAAAAAAGGCTAATAAGGTTTAACTAAGATTGGGTCTATCTTATAATGAAAGATGATCCAAAAATTAATGCCCTACCATTCCCAGTTGTAAAATTTCTTGATACAAAACATGTGTCCTTGCAAACTTTTGCTCCTTTTAGTATTTTTGTTTCATTTGCTAGCTTCTCCAAGCAAAACACTTGTTTTTCAAAAAACGTTGCAGTATTACATAGAGGATCGTTATTGCATTCTGCACAGGGGATTTTATATATCATTTCCATAGGCATCACTTTTCGTAAGAGAGACTTGTCACTGAAAGTTGTATGAGATAAAGGACATTTTCCACAGTTGTAATGGTACTCATCGACTTTTGTAGCTAAAAATTGGTTGTTAATTTGAACAAATTTATTTTGATCTAAGTATATGGCTCCCGGACAATGCGTCAGTGGACAATCGTTAGTGAAATATTTATATCAGACGATTATGGGACATAAAGTATAATTTGAAGGGATTAAGAGGGATATCAATGGATTTATGAGGAATTAAGAGGATTTTGAAGAAAATTAACGTTTATTAAACTCTACCGTTATTATTAAACTTTAAAATGTAACAGTCATCTTTCGGACATTCTTTAACTCCACTAATTCGTTCAACACTTTTACAATAATAAGTATCCGTCCAATTATTACAACGATTTTCTTGGCATTCTCTACACGATGTAGAATTACACTTTCCACATCCTCTGTTTTCTTTAAAAATATTTTTAAAAATTTTTGAAATTTATTTATCCATGCCTGTGTTATTCTTCATTCTCTCCACAAAACATGGAGTCTCAAACGATGTTTTACATATAGTCCCATTGTTACCCAAGCATTGTTTTGGAACAAGGCTTTCTTTATTACAATATTTTGTGTTACATTCTACACAGTCTTTGTTATTTGAGCATTTGCCACAGTCTTGTTTAACTAAAAATTTTGTTGAAAAGACAGGTCGGCAGAAATTTTCAGAAAGACATTTGCGGATAAACTGGATACAGAAATGATAGTCTCTACTTATTTTAATAAGCAATGGCCTCTTACTCATTTCACTAAATATTGAGTGACAAATTAAAGTGAGTGGGACATGGTCAGTGTCTTCTGTTGGTATTCTGGCGCAGTGGTTCTGTAGTTTTGCCAAGTCATAATAAAAATTTTAGTTTATCTTAAATCCGCAAGTGTCTCTCTAAAAGTTTGATCCTCAAACCTTTCCCATTTTTGTCTCTCAATACAAAACATGAGGCATTACAAACTCTTTTCATTCCAACGGGTTTAGACATGTTTTCAGTCTTCCACAAACAAAACTTTGATTTTTTAATAAATTCCTCAGTGTTACATAATGGACCCGAATTACAATCTAGGCATTTCTTTTCATGGTGCGCGAAATCACATTTTCCACAACCGGAATTGAAAACTAAATATTATATATATTTGTCATGATTAAACATCCTGAATTATATATCAATAGCTGCGTCTAATGACACCAAAATCAACTTGATTGGACAAAATTTTGACTTAAGTCGCCGACTCCGTTAAGTCTACTTAATGTCGTAACTTTGTCAAATATTGTCCACTGACGTTGATTTTAGTGTCATTTGACGCAGCTCGCCGAGCTCCTTTCAAATGAGCTATCATTGTTACAAATTTCCGTGATTTTTAAATTTTAGGGGTCTGTATTTCGGTCAAATCAAGTCGGATTTTTTCGATTTTGTTGTCATTCGACACAGCTCGATGTGATCTACATTTTTTGTGCTGACTGACTATTTTTACATATTTTCTAATAAAATTGACTGGGGGGGGGGCTAAATAAGTACTTCGTTATCTTCCTTTTAAAGTAAGAACGTACAGGCTAACCCACGCCTTATCATATCGACCTCTTAATTTATGAATCAAAATTAGACCGACAAGAGTGAACTTCTTGCCTTTATACAATGAAAACTTCCATTTTACCTTTTTCATCCTCATCTAATTGAGCAATGTAGCACCAATCTTCTTTGCATTTCTCATTTCCATTCTTTGTTCTACAAAAGGTGCGAAATTCAAGTTCACGATTACAACGATGTCTGTTGTTGCATGTTACACAAGTTGAACTATTATTAGGGCATTTACCACAACCCTTTTTTACTAGAACACGAATGGAAATTAATCAAGAAAATTCTGTTAAAATACTTTTGTTGTTTCCCATAATCTCCGCATAACAATATTCTTCATATTTATTTTTACATGTGTTAGGACTGTTTCCGTGATAAGAATACTCGTATATTCCATCAACACACTGTTTATAAACATGTTTTTCTTCGTTGCAATAATCAGTTTTGCAGGCATAACAATCCTTAGAATCTTTACCTCGACAACTATCACAGCCCTTCCACACTTAATATTAATTATATCATTTTTACACTTTTAATTATTATATACAGTGTCCATTCACATCTCTAAAAACAAAACATTCTTTATCACATTGTTTTATTGCCTTTTTGTATTTCTCTTTTTCTGTTTCTTTAATGAAACAAAACAAAGTTTTGTCAAATAATTCTTTTGTATTGCACAATGCCTTTTCACAAACAGCAAATTGAATATTTTTAACTTCTTTAGGTGAATCTCCACAGCCTTGTTCAACTAAAAGATTAATATATATGTTGAAAGAACTCAAATTATAACTTAAATCCCCACACATTATGCCAAACCCGTAAGCCTTGTAATTCCCCCAATAATCCTTTACTTAAATAAAATTACCAATTTTAGTGTCATAGGATATAAAACACTTCTTTGCCATACATGACCTTTTCCCTTCATTTGTCTTTCCATTTTTTACTTTTTCATAACAAAAAATTGTTTTAGCCA